GAAAAGAACACCTTAACTTAAATTTAAATACGAATGTAGGCAGCGGCAAAAACTTCGGAATATCCGAGCACATGATATCGAATACTTCGCAGCCAACAGCTCCTTTCAAAAATGCTGCCGCGGCACACCAGAGCCCGAAAATAAAAGGGATTTGGATTAAGATTTGAGAAATGTTTGGAATGCCGCACTGGGCACTATAAAAAGAACGCGCTGCTTTTCCGTTCGCACATCTCGTGCGACAAATGGCCGAAAATTATTTATGCGCAAAAACCACAGAAATGCGTGAGGAGCCAGAACAAAGCCGAAAAATGGTATTTAATGCCAGCGACTGGGGAACGGGGAGCAGAAGGCAATGAATGCCAGCCGAGGGTCGCGGGGAAATGCCTGGACAGCCATGGCGAGTGGGTACAATGATGATATAAGGAATGCTCGGCAAACAAAACAATGCCAAGGCAGTGCGGAGAAGACTCTTCTTTTTATCGAAATTAGTTACTGTATTTGTTTTAATTTGTCGCCACATGAGTTGCCAAAACACACACAACACACCCCTACTTTGCGCCAGGGAAATCAGAGGAACCAACGCCTTTCGCACCGCAAAAAGATCAAAACACGGAAAAATTCTTGGCAATGACCATCGAAATAGCAATGCTGAATATGCACAGATACTCATCCCATCTCCGCCCCCGTCCGCCGAATCCGTCCGTCCGTCCGTCTGTCCGTCTGTCCGTATAGATGTTGGGGCTATGTGCCACAGCTATATAGCTGTACGGCCACAGCTGTGGAAATAGAATGCGCAGACTTTCCGAGAGTGACAACGGCGCCGACAAATAGATCCGTACGAGCGAGCACCACGTAACCAATTCGAACGGACCCGGCCAGCTGCAGCTGAAATTGCTGCCCACAATCACGGCCAGATCGGTTTCAGGTCTAGGTGCACCACTTTCCACCGTGCATGGTAACGATCCTTGGGTTTCCACACCATGCCCTGCATTGAAACTGCTTTGGACCAGAATGGTGGCTTATCTGCATTGTTACGAAGTAATCATCGTACGGGTTCAGTTGCTCTATTCGAAGTATTAAAACATCTGCCATCCATTTGCTGCTTTAACTGGGAAGAAATTTCACTTGGAGTCTCCCACAATTGTTAACTAATTTCGCACTTGAGCTCGGATTCGGGTCGTTGGACTTTCGCAGTGCACTTGCATTGCATTTGGTGGATCGCTGGACCTTGGGTACCATATAGACTCCGTTTTTATCGCCTCCAAGTGGAGAAGCGACTTCCCAGCACTTGCGGCAACGAAATGGAAATTTCGAAGATTTCGTGATTTCCACGGACGGGTTTCAGTGTTTTCACAGGCTTTCTCCGCTGCGTGGAAAACAAACTCAACCCAACGGCCGAACAGCTGAAAGGCGGACGAAAAGCGGTTGCCAAGTTCTGGCCGCTTTTCATTCATCGTTGGACTTATTTTTAAACGATTGGCCCGTGTGATATGAATGAAATTCGCCTGATTGACGAATTTTTGGATATTGATCAAAGAGACAAATTCAGAACGTCATTGCCGCAGTTGCCAAAACGGCGGCTTATATAAACAGCAGCGAAGAGTCAATAAGACCAGCCAACGCCCACCGCCCACCGCCAACCGCCCCATTCATTCAAGTGTCCATGGGCAACTCGATCGCCGGGCTCCACTCCTCTTTCGGCACATAAATAATAATCACATAGAATGTAGAATAAACAACAGCTAGTGGTGAGAACTGGCCGCGAAGGTCATTCCTGTTTTCTTTTTGACTTCTGTGATGAATACCGCCGCCTTCCACTTGTGCGGTGGGAAGTGGGCAAGTACGTATATACTTGGCTAAATGTGTGTTTTTAGTTGCTCGTGAAAGAGTGCCGCCCCGCCCCCCACAACGCGCCTTTTTTCCCGCTGGGGCTTTTATTTATGACCACGACATTTGCGCATTCCTTCAGTGCTGCTGGCGTGGCTCATGGCGCGGGAATTTTGCACTTATTAGATGAAAAATTACAGAAAATGTAAGACCGCTGTTATTTAATTGCGCCAATTAATTTTTCCGCGAGAACTTGTTCGTGCAAGTTGTAGTATTTGAAAGCCATTAATTGCCCGCCTGCGGGATCCACTGCTTACATTCAAATTGAAATGTGACTTGCGAACACTAATCCTATTCATTTAAAATCCATTTGGCACCTCTGAATGGAGCTTGTGGAAGAGTAGTTTGTCACACCTGATTCACTTTAGTTGCACACCTTTCCTTAAGTGACGTATTTGTTATATTTATTTCTGATTGTCTGATAACACCGGCTGGTTTTGGTTTTTGAATTACCCGCCCTGACGAATAGTTGGCAACGCGAGCAACTGACAGGAGGCGCAGTAAGGGGGCGCAGCTCGTCTGGCAACGCTGCCATTTGAAAGAAGAAGTTTGGCTTCCTTTCGTGAAAAACCTGTTTAGGCCCCCATTTAAGCCATTTGTGCTCTTGAATACTTGCAGGACTCACCGCTGTCCTCTAAGGTGGCCATGTTCAACAACCAAGCCACGCAGCACAAGCAGTCGCAGCTGCTGAATCCATTTTCCCAGGACGGACGCGCCGCCTCGCCAAAACCCACTTTCTCGAAGGATCAGTATGGAAAACCACTGGCCGGCAGCCTCACAGAGATGCGTGGCCAGAAGGCCAACATCCACGTGATGAAGGAGATGCTGGAGCTCTGCCAGATCATCAATTCGGAGGGCTACGACGTCAAGGACGAGCCCACTATGCGCGTGATCCCCTTCGGCGAACTGTTCAATGTGAGTATCCTGTGATCCGCTTGTACTTATCTCGAGCAGTTCTCTAAACTGGTCCCTGATCCTCTGCAGATCTACAACTACATATCCGACAAGGTGGTGGGCATCCTGCTGCGGGCCCGCAAACACAAGTTGGTAGACTTCGAGGGCGAGATGTTGTACCAGCGGAGGGACGATGACGTGCCCGTCTTTCTGCTGAAGCCCATCAAGGAAATACGCAGCGAGATGGAGGCCAAGATTGAGGACATCAAGAGGGCAGCTAGTCCAGCGCCTCCGCAGTCCACCTCGGTGCTGATGGATCGCAGTGCTCACGAGCAGAAACTTAAGTCGAGGACTCCCTCGCCGGCCGTAGGCAAGTCCGCCAAGTCCAAGTCAGCGTCGCCGGCACCCAAGTGTCCTGCACCTGTTCCTGCTCCTGCTGCAGAAGTCACGCCTGTGGCAGCGCCCACAACTTCTGCAGAACCTGCTCCAGTGGCACAGCCCACTTCGGCAGCAGTGCCTGCTCCGTCTACAGAGCCCACACCGGCAACAGCGCCTGCACCTGTGGAAGCCCCTGCTTCCAGTACCGTTGAGAGCGAGCCAGCTAAGCCGGAGGTGCACGAACCGGCGCCCGTGGCTGTGATAGTCACAGAAGCACCATCCACAGAAGAAACCACACCAACCATCAGCGAACCGCAGGCGGAGGAGGCAGCCGCTGCAGTGGCACCGCCAGCACCTGCTGATGACTTGCCCACAATTGTGATCGAAGCCACCGCCGAGTTTGTGCGCACCGTCAGCGTGGAGCAGCTGGCACCCAGTCCCGCAACAGCCAACGAGTCCTCGCCAGACCAATCCCAATCCCAACCAGAGTCGACGCCCGCTTAGGGCGGGGGAGGGGATTTGATAGCTGGGAAGCAATGAACATCCCTTTGAATCGTTTAAAAGGAACTCTCGCAACTACTAAAGCGGCAGCTTTAAATTGCAGTAGTTTAGTTTACGGCGTACTTAGTTTAATTTACAATTAGAGCAACACAACACTGAAGACAGAAACGAGAGTAACTTTTTATTTATTATTATTACTTGTATATTATTAACGGACGACCAAAGGAGCCAGTTTCCTCAATCTGTTAACCATTACTCTATGGAAATGAACTAAGGTTTTCCACTCACAAAAGTTGGGAACGTGCAAAGCAATATAATACTAATAAAATAAATACTCGTACATAGACACAATAAAAGCCAGTGCCGTTTTTCTATTTTCAAAACGTTTGAGCTGCTAGTTTTATAACTAACTAAATAAGGCACTATCAACATGAGTTTGGAATGGTTTCACTACCTTCACTACCTACATTTCCATTTATAATAAAAAATACGTTTGCTGAATCTTACAAATTTGAACCACATTTGACCGTTACAAGGCATAACAACTTTTTGACACAATAGCTATCGATGAGATATCGATTACAGGGCTAGAGGCAGCAGAGCAAGGCGAAGAAGAAGAGGTCCGAAATCGATTGACGATAATGCAGCACAATTTCAACCAGCTGATATCGATTGGACGACAGGGCTGGACCTCACAAATAAATATAAAACCAAAATATTTAGGGAAATTCAGTTTGAAGTATAATACAAAAGGAAGATGTCTGCCCTGCGCCGTGACGTGTCGCCCTTAATACAGCGCATTCGGGCCTTCCTCCTGGGTGTGAGTATCCAAAATTTGGACAGCGGCCGCCGAGAACTCGGTTCTCCGTTATATAAGACGGAAAATGGGAATCTTTGATCAATCTGGTCGTCAATTACAGCGGGAACACAACCTGGCCCTGCGCTTTGAGGACGGACTGGCCGATCGCACCCAGCCACAGCCGGAACTCCCAGATGGACCGTCGCATCTACTCTCGGCCAACTACTACTGCCAGCGGGATGCACGTCGCGAGGTGCTGCCGCCCATCGACCTGGTGGAGCAGCAAAAGCAGCTGGCGGCGGATGCTGGGGAGGCGGCGAAGCCCACCTCTTCGAAGCTGCCCACTCCGGGCAAGGTCTATGCCTGGGATTAATGGGCCGCTTCCCAGCAGGAATCGCCTTTTTTGAGTTGTAGTACGAGCCGGTTAAAGCTAATATAGAATCAAATTGAAACAGGAATGCGTGCATTCGTATATTCAGTGATGGAGGCCAAGTGAGAGGCCCCTTACCAGCCCAAAGTATTTTAAACCCCACTCGCCGGAAAAAACAACATCCATCACTGGATATAATTATGTACAAGTATTTTATTCAAATATTTACAGAGTCGGTCACTTATAACTAGTTAACAAAGATCACAATGCAGGACGAGCTAATAGACGCGTGGCTTGAGGCCACAATTGATTCCCGTGGACGATCGCAGGATAAGGTTCAGCACGGGCTGTACTTCCTCGCCTAGAGGCAGCAGCTCAAAGTGTCTCACCATTTTGCTGATAGTGCTCTTCATCTCGAGCATTGCGAACTTCTGGCCGATGCAGTTCCTCGGGCCCGCGGAGAAGGGAGTATAGGCAAATGGATTGATCTCGCCCTTGCGCTCCATGCTGAAACGCTCAGGGATGAACTTCTTCGGATCAGGAAAGTAGTCTGGATCGCGCTGAGCATGGTAAATAAGGATGATCACATTAGAGTCGGCGGGTATAAGCTTGCCGTCGAGTACGGTGTCCTGGGAAATGTATCGTCCAATGAGCGGCACCGAGGGAAACAGGCGCAGAGACTCCTTTATCACGCATTCTAAGTACTTCAGCTCGCCCAGTAGCTGCATCGTAACTGGAGCCGACTTGTCATCGCCCAGAACATCTCGGACCTCCTGGAAGACGCGTGCCTGAACCTCCGGATTTCGAGCTAGCAAATAGCAGGTAAAAGCAATGCTACTGGTCGTAGTGTCGTGGCCCTCGAACATAAAGGTGTCTACCTCTTCGCGGATGTCACCGTTGCTCAACGGAGCTCCATCGATGGTGGACTGGAGCAGCACATCCAGCAGGGCCATGCGACGCTTCTGACCCACATCGTTAAGGAGGGGAGCGTCGGCATCTCCACCATCGGCAATGGATTTCTGTAGGAGCTCGCGTCGGTCAGTGATTACCGAGTTGGTGAAGTCATGCATGTTCTTCACGGAATCATTCAGCTTGGCTAACAATTTCGGATAGAAGATCTGCATGGAGGCATCTACGCGCTGCAAGGGATTCATGAAGCGTTCAGCTAACATTGAAGAGGCACTAAGAAGATGTGTTCATATGAAATAAAACCAGCCGATAGTTACTGTGTGGTAATACTTACGTTGTGACCGACTGAACGTAGGAAAATTGCGGCTGGAGCTGAGCATTAATTTTCACACCCATGGCCGTTTCCGCAATGATATCCATGGCGCACAAGCAAGCCACCGGGAACATATTTATCACCGTCTTGCCGTCCGCCCGGTCGTACAGCTGCTGAACCATAATAGCGCTCTGTTGGTCAAAGACCTCCACAAAGTCCTCCAGGATCTTAAAGTGGAATGCAGGTGTGATGATCTTCCTGCGTCGGAACCACTTTTTGCCTTTGCTAAGCAGCAGTCCATCGCCGAGCCAATTGACCAGGAGCCCATATAGATTGTTTTTCTGAATGGTCTGCTGATTGCTCATGATCGCCTCAATCATTTTTGAATCAGCGGTCATGAAGCCGCGTTCGCCCAACATCCGAATTCTTATGTTTTTACCATACTGAGCAATCAGTCGGTCCTGCAGATCAAAGACAGCTGCAGGAGAAGAGGATTGGTACTCATTTAGTAACCTTGTGCATCGTGTGATTAACGGACATGACCTACTTTTGGGGGACTCATTGATCATCATGGGAGCGTTTCCCACCAGTGGATAGCTCCTGGGTCCTCGGATACCAGCGGCGGCGTACATCTTGTTGTGGCGCCTGTTTCGCATGTAATCCCACGCGATAACGGTCGCCAGGAAAAGCGCCAAGAGCTCTAGATACATTTTATTTTGGGATTCGAATTCGTGCTTTCTGGGTTGAAAATGGGATGGATCTATTAACGCTGGCACCGTTGGCCATCGACTGTTTGTTTTTGCTCAGCGGCGGCTGTTTTGTAGCTGGCGCGGATTGTGATAAGGCGTCCACTATCAGGGCAATGAAGCCGAAAACAAACGCGAAGGCCAAAAACTACGACCGGAGTCGAAAACAGGCGGCACTTGGGGGGTCCTCCACTTCCAGCTCCCATGTCAGTTGGATTGAACGAGTGATCTTCATAAGGATCTTCAAGATCCGTTGGCGCACATTCTGCGATGAACGCCCCAAAAAGTGCCTCTTCACGGTGATCCATGGCTTTGCTCCTATCGGTAGTTCCGATTGATTAGGACACAGTTCCGCCCACCGCCTTGGTAAACGTTGGGTGGGGCCTGGGAAAGGTCGAGTGGCGCTATCTGCATCGTAGTACATGGATTTGCCAGAGCACTCGCGTACTGCTGATTAGATCGAACGCTTTTGTTAGACTCTTGGAACTAAAAAAGCAAATATATAAATAGATAACTAGCCTACAAATTCAATTGACTGTTAAAATGATGCTGAGATCCCCTTGGTTTTATCGTTCTTATCAACTTGATGATTGCAAATTGATCTTGAAGATACGATTCTTCTTACAAGCTGAAAACTATGCAGAACAAAATGCACAGCATAAAACTGCTCTGTTAGATCCATAAAGTTGGGGGAGAAACTCTGAGAATAACTGAGAAGCTGTTCAATAACAGGTCAAACTAGATCCCCCCATATAATGCACTACTTGAACGGACGAGCGGGTACAAAAGGTCGTTGGTATTGAACCCGAAACCCATTACACATCAAATTTGAATTATCATATGAAATCGATTGTTCCATTGATACAAACTATTTATTTTAGTTGTAACAGATGTACTGATTAGATATCTTCATGGCTTCCACAATCCAATATGTTTACCTCTAATCAACAACTAAGCATGACGAGTGAAATTGATAAGAGCTCTCAGCTGCCCGGTAATCATTACTAAGCGAATTGTTAGACTTGCACTTTTTACTAGATAACTGGGAACAAGTGATCTTGGAACTTTTACCACAAATTATGATGATACCTGCGATAAGGTTACCTATTGAATTATTCCCTTTCGACACTGTTACATTTCAGATAACAGGATGAGTTGAGTGACTGGACAATGCAGCTACTGCTAGGGCATATCTACAATTCATAATGATAAATGGAAAATGGAAATAGAAACGGACACTGAAGTAACCCTTTAAAATGATATAACTTGGCAATGCTGGAGTTTTAAAACAACCCAGTATCACAATCCGCACCCCCAATGGCTAGGTATTAGCTTAAATTACCCGACTAAGCATGACCTCTCAACAAAAAGAGTGGCATCATCGTGACAAGGCTTTAAATCCATTTGCAAATGGATCTTCGGATTTTCATACTTCCAGCTGCCCGCTGCAGAAAGTAGATTGCCGGATTCGGTTTGCTTCTCTTGCGAGCAGCAGACTCTCTTACGGCTTTCAGCTGGCGTAGAACAGTCCCCAATGCTTATATTATTTACAGTATCGTTTAGTAGAAAGCTGTTTCTCGTTCGATGCACAATGCTGGGTATAGTTGGTGTGCTTCTCCTGGCGGCGTTCGCCACACTGCTTGTGTGGGATTTCCTGTGGCGCAGGCGGGGCAATGGTATACTGCCGGGTCCGCGGCCACTTCCCTTGCTGGGGAACCTGCTCATGTACCGCGGTCTAGATCCTGAACGTGAGTTTGAGATAGTTATGTGTTTGGAGTTCAGACAGGGCGATTTTTGAACAAATTATATGGAAGACTGCAAAACTTACTGAAAGCAGTTTGTTATCTGGTCAAATCTATTGCATGGCATAATCACATCTAATAATAATCTGCAGAAATCATGGACTTTGTCAAGAAGAACCAGCGCAAGTACGGTCGTCTCTACAGGGTGTGGATTCTCCACCAGTTGGCCGTGTTCTCCACGGATCCCCGAGACGTTGAGTTCGTGTTGAGCAGCCAGCAGCATATAACCAAAAATAATCTGTACAAGCTGCTCAACTGCTGGCTGGGCGACGGATTGCTAATGAGCACGGGCAGGAAGTGGCATGGACGCAGGAAGATCATCACGCCCACGTTCCACTTCAAGATACTGGAGCAGTTCGTCGAGATCTTCGACCAACAAAGCGCTGTGATGGTGGAGCAGCTTCAATCCCGGGCCGACGGCAAGACGCCCATCAACATCTTTCCGGTGGTTTGTCTAACTGCCCTGGATATAATTGCAGGTGAGATTGCCATTACTCTGATAATTACTTATACTAGTTCAATATTCGCCATTTAGAAACTGCGATGGGCACAAAAATCAATGCCCAAAAAAATCCCAATCTGCCCTATGTCCAGGCTGTTAATGAGTGAGTGTAGTGCTAGGTTTGATCTCTAAATTTCTAATGAGTTCTTCCATGTTACAGTGTCACCAACATCATGATTAAACGTTTTATCCACGCCTGGCAGCGGGTGGACTGGATTTTCCGGCTAACGCAGCCAACAGAAGCTAAACACCAGGACAAAGCTATCAAGGTAATGCACGACTTTACCGAGAACATTATCCGCGAGCGGCGTCAAACGCTGGTGAACAACTTGAAGAAAACAACTACAGAGGAGCTAGTAGATTGCTTGGGCCAAAAGCGACGCATGGCTCTGCTGGATGTGCTGTTGCAGTCTACCATCGATGGCGCTCCCTTGAGCGATGAGGATATCCGCGAAGAGGTTGACACGTTTATGTTCGAGGGCCATGACACCACAACCTCGGCGATTTCCTTCTGTTTGTATGAGATCTCTAGGCATCCGGAGGTGCAACAGCGTCTGGTGCAGGAGATCCGCGATGTACTCGGAGAGGATCGAAAGAGACCAGTTAGCCTTCGAGATCTGGGCGAGCTGAAGTATATGGAGAACGTGATCAAGGAGTCGCTACGCCTGCACCCGCCAGTGCCCATGATCGGCCGCTGGTTCGCCGAGGATGTGGAAATACGTAAGAAGTTCGAAAGAGATTCTTGAATCTCATGTAAACATATTGCTCTTTTCAGGTGGCAAGCGTATTCCAGCGGGCACAAACTTTACAATTGGCATTTTTGTTCTCCTTCGTGATCCAGAGTACTTTGAGTCTCCCGATGAGTTCCGACCGGAGAGATTTGAGGCAGATGTTGCGCAAATTCATCCGTACGTGTACATCCCTTTCTCCGCCGGACCAAGAAACTGTATTGGCCAGAAGTTTGCCATGCTGGAAATGAAGAGCACCGTCAGCAAGCTGCTCCGCCACTTCGAGCTGCTGCCCTTGGGTCCTGAGCCCCGGCACTCGATGAACATCGTCCTGCGGTCGGCCAACGGCGTTCATCTGGGCTTGAAACCTCGCGCCTCATAAGGAATTCATTCTTCTCGGCCTCTCCAGCTGTATTTGCCTAGAATAAACGTGTATAAAGTATTTAACTATTTTGTCTGCTGGATAATTTGGAACTACAATATATTTACCCTCTCAGCAATACATACATATACATATATATGTGCATGTGAATTACAAGTTACAAGTTGATTGATATAAGGTTGATTCCCTCAGCTGTTCTTTCGGAAAAACAGCTGTCTAGTAGATTTTCCGTCCTGCTCACCTTAGTGCTCCGGCATTCTGTCCCACTTTCGTCAGAGGCGCACTATTCGAATAGATTTGCTTATATAAACTTTAGCTACGAGCAATAAATGCAAAGTGCCTGGTATATAAATAGGTGACACATTTGTAGTGCTCCAGATAAGATTGTCAGCTACTCGAGAGCCCAAGAACTTCTTAAGACGCGCTGCAGAGTTTCAACATGTTGGTGGCTTTGCTAGTGGCCCTCCTGGTCACCCGCTTGGTTGCCTCGCTGTTTCGGTTGGCGCTAAAGGAGCTGCGACATCCTTTGCAAGGCGTTGTGCCCAGTGTTTCGAGAGTTCCTCTGCTAGGAGCCGCCTGGCAGATGCGTAGTTTTCAGCCAGACAGTAAGTTTTCATTTAAACTCATCAATAGTTGATGTTTCGTGCAATATATTCCAGATTTGCACGATAAGTTCGCCGAGTATGTTAAGCGCTTTGGTCGCTGTTTCATGGGCACTGTCTTGGGCCAAGTGGTCGTGGTCACAGCGGAGCCCCGTCATATAGATGCACTGCTGCAAAGTCAGCATCAGTTGAAGAAGGGCACGATGTATATGGCTCTACGCGGCTGGCTGGGCGATGGACTGCTTCTGAGTCGCGGAAAAGAGTGGCACACGATGCGCAAGATCATCACGCCCAGCTTTCACTTTAGCATCCTGGAGCAATTTGTCGAGGTGTTCGATAAACAAAGCAGCATATTGGTGGAGCGGTTCAAAGCCCTGTCGCGCGGCGACCAGGTTGTGAACATCTATCCCTTGGTGGGTTTGGCTGCTCTAGACATCATCACCGAAACTGCTATGGGCGTAAGTGTGGGAGCTCAAGAAGGTGACTCTGAGGTGGTGCACGCTGTAAAAGAGTAGGTTGCCGTATATTCTTATTATGCCATAATCTTATTATCCCTTTGTCTGCCTTTAGCCTTACCAACATATTGTCCACTAGGTTCATGAGACCACATCTCCTCTTTCGCCATCTCTTCCGCCTGTGCTGGCCCAGCGGATTCAGGAATCAAGAAGCCGGCGTCCTCTGCCTGCATCAGTTTACCAACAAAATTATAGAGCAGCGCCGCCGTTTACTGGCCATGGAGGCCAACCAAGATCAGCCAACGAAGCGTCATGCCCTACTGGACACTCTCCTTCGGGCATCTGTGGATGGGAAACCTTTGACTGACAAGCAAATTCGCGATGAGGTCAACACTTTCATCTTCGAGGGTCATGATACCACGACTTCAGCAGTGTCCTTCTGTTTGTATCTGCTTTCCCGCCATGAGGCAGTGCAGCAAAAGCTTTTTGAGGAACTGAGGATGCTCTACGACCAGGATTTATCCAGACGCGTTATTCTTTCGGATTTTGCTGCGTTACCATATCTCAATTGCGTGGTCAAAGAGTCCCTGCGACTTTATCCGCCTATTCCGGCCGTCGCACGCTGCCTGGAAAAGGAGTTGGTTATAGGTGAGTGGAAAGTCTGAGAATATACTCAGAATATACTGAGAATAGACTCACCTGAGCGTCAATCTACACCAGATGAGGGCTACATCCCCGTGGGCACCAACGTAGTCGTACTTCTCTGGCAGCTCCTCCGGGATGAAGAGATCTTTGCCGATCCACTGGTCTTCCAGCCGGAGAGGCATCAAGCAGACGAGGCCCCCAGGCTGAGCCCCTACAGCTATATACCATTCTCCGCTGGGCCGAGGAACTGCATTGGTCAAAAGTTTGCCCTGCTGGAGATGAAAACCATGGTGACCAAGGTGATACGCCACTACCAGCTGCTTCCAATGGGCGCCGATGTGGAGCCGTCCATTAAAATAGTGCTGCGGTCGAAGAGCGGGGTAAATGTTGGGCTGCGACCGCGGTTGTATTGAAAATCAGAGAATTTCGGATCAGCTGGCGCCCGGCAGTTTGAATCAGGCCGTCGTTATCGATAACAGCAAACTGCAGTCAGCTGGCGCAGTGATGGGCAGGTATAGCTGTTTACCGCCAAATCCAGCTCGACTTAAGTTAAAATTTAAATGCCCAAAACTAATACAAGGAATATAATATATAAAGACAAGTGCTTGTACAGCACATATAAGTAAGTTTAATACAAATGGAACCGCTGATAAGGCAAATAGAATGGGATCAGCTGATAGCAGAGAATGTGGAATAAACCCAATTAATATGATTAAGCTTAGTAACCGAGCGACCAGAGATTACATTGCTGCGTTACAAACAAATGCATTATAAATGTATGTACAGACAGACATACATGCTTATAGAGCATTTGGCTTCATAAGCTATTTTTGTCAGTTTTGCGCTCGTCAATCGATAAATTTCACATCGAATCGATACGCGCAACTGTTGAATTATATGGAAGCTAACCGTTTGTTTTATCAGTTTTTCCGAGATTTCCCTGACAAATGTGCTTTCTACGGTTTTTGGCCCAAGCCAGGGGCACCTTGGGACGGGTGAGTAATCTGGAAGAGTACCAGAAGTAAGAATGGCCAGGCACTAATAGGGCTTCTCCGCTCGCGCAGCATCTGGCGGATGCCTCACCACTTTCTTGGGCAGCTGCTTCCGACGTTTCCGACCGAAAATTGCATCTGGTGATGGGTAACGAATCGTGTGACCTGGACTCCGCCGTTTCAGCAATCACTTTGGCATTTGTCTACGCCCAGCGCCATCGGGCGCACGACTATGTGCCTATACTGAACATTCCTCGCCGGGATTTCCCGTTAAAAACCGAGGTGGGCCACTTGTTTGGGAAGTGTGGCATTGCCGAGCCCGTGTTGCTCTTCCGAGACGATATTCCACCTGTAGTCGTCCAGGATGTGAACGTTATTCTCGTGGACCACCATGTAAGCTCGCTGGCGCCAAATGTAACGGAGATTTTGGATCACAGGCCCTTGGAGGACAACAGTCCATCCTTTAAGCAGCTGCCAACACACTGCAAACTGGACATAGATGCGTCGGTGGGTTCCTGCGCTACTCTGGTGGCCCAGCGGTATTTGGCTGAGCAACAACCCCGATCCACTGGTGTGGCCCAGCTGCTGCACGCCACCATCGTGCTGGACACAATTAATTTTGCCCCCGTGGCCAAGCGCTACGGGCCAAAGGACGAAGCCATGGTACAGAAGTTGGAAAGCGAACTTAACTATCGCGTCGCTCAGAGAAGCAGCCTGTTTGATGAGCTAGTGGCTGCAAGGGCGGATATTAGTAAGCTAACTCTCACCGAAGTTTTGCGCAAGGATATGAAGGTCCTACAAACGGATCGCCAGGTGGTTCCCTTAGCTGGAATGCCCATCCTCGTCAGAGATTTTGTGGAGAAGAGCGGCGCAGAGAAAGCCGTTCGCGAGTTTGGCGTGGAGAGTAACCTTTTGGTTATCCTGGGAATGTATGTATCACCTGCCGATGGCCAAGTGCAGCGTGACCTGGCTTTGATCTCTCTCTCCGGCCAAGGCCAATTTGTTGAACGCGTCCGGCAAGCACTGATGGAGTCGAATGATCCCAAACTGGAGCTGCGCCCTCACGAGGTGGACACCCGCTTCATGGGCGGCTGCTTCTTGCGTCAACACAACGTCCAGGCCACCAGAAAGCACATCCTTCCCATCGTTAAGCGCGCGCTGCTTGAATGGGAGGCGGATCACGGCTGCGATTGTGACGACGTGTACTTCTTCAAGGAGAAGCCGCAGCTGGGACTCTCTTAAGGCGAGGTCAGGCCATCGGACAGCTTAGACAAGACTTAGCTAGAATTTTAGCGCAACCGTTATATTACCAACGTTAAGCGTACACCAAAAAGACATAGAGAATTTTTCATTTAAGATAAATTGTCGAAATTTTTGAAAGCACTTCCTCAGTTTATGATGTAATATGTTGAAGCGAGTGAAATATTGAAGCAATCAGTATTCCGAATATAAGTTACTTTGCAACATTGGTAACATAAAGGCTAATTAGTTTCAAATTATTCACACATTAAGTTCTATCCAGTTTCCTAGTTGTTTATATGGATTAAGCGAATATGTACAGGGTATACATGGGTAAAAGAAAGCGTTATGATTAATAAAAAAAAAGGACTACAACTGTGGCTCGGTCTCGTCGTCACCTCCCTCCTCGCCCATTTCGTCGTCGGCGCACTCCAACGTCATGTCTTCCAACATCTCCTCAAGCGTAATCTGGGGCACATCACCACCAGCGGCCTGTAACTCGATTGGTATCGTCTTGTTCGTGTCCCGATAGATGTTGACCTGACCGCGGATATCCTCGTTTTCCTCGAGATCGTCAAGGAACTCGTGGTAGTCGTACTTGCTGCGCTCATCGGTGGCCTCCGCCGCCAGATGCTTAATCTTCCACACGCGCTGGCTGAGTCTGGTCTGTCGATCATAGTGCTTGCGCACAAGGATCACATCCGGAATTTCATCCGACGACAATTTGTCGAACTCCAGATCGTTGATGTTGGCCTCTCCAGTGTTGTAGCCCATAACGGAATCACCCACCTTGAGCAGGTGGCCCAAGTGGGAGCGTGTGTGAATGGGGTTATCGTTGATGCCAAGCTCCGAGGCTCGCACCACCCAAATGTCGCAGAGGGCGTGCTTAAAGGAAACCTGACCTTGACCGGGATAGGTCTTCCGATCCTTCTCCATGATCACATCTATGTCCATGACGACGTACTCAACCAGCTGCTTCGGATTGCAAATTGCCTCAAAAGGAGCTCTAAAAAAAAGCAAACAAGTTGGCTTACTCGAAGATAACCTAAGTAAAATAGGATTCCCACCTGAAATAGACCTGCGAGGTGAGTTCTGCAATCTGTGCGGTCAGGGGATCAATTAGGTGAATGCTGCTGGACACCCGGTTAACCAGAACCAATGGCGAGAGATTGCCCAGTTGGTGGCGCAGCTTCTTGGACAGGCAAACTGCACTGTCCTTCGATACTGGTGCTATTTCCACTGACCAGTTGTACTTATAGTTATAGTTGTTGCTGTGGATATCGTGAGAGATGAGACGCTTCGAGGTTGTTACCTTGCCGGGCACCATGGTCAGCAGAAAATCCACCATGCGCCGGGCATGGTTATCATTGGCGTAGAAGAAATCCAGGCCGCCGTGCTCCGGCTTTATGCCAAGGGTGTTCTCGTGGGCTTTGTGCTTAAGGATCAGCTGTTCCAGGTAGTAAAAGGTCTTCTTGTTCTCCGCCCGCTGACGAACCTGCACAAGGCAGCGCCAGAAGTCCTTGGCTTCGGTCCGATGGCAATCGTTGCACATCTGGTTCTGTACAGTGAACTCCACCACGAAGACCTGCTGGAGCACCGTTCCGCCGGTGATCTCCCCGTGCACGGTCAGCTTCACCTTTATGCGCTTGGAGTGCTGCTCTGTCCAGATGAAGCCGGCATCCACCAACTTCACATCCTTCAGGCCTTTGAGCTTTTTGAGGCAAATGGCTAAGAGCTCGCGGGACTCCAAGGAGGCCTGAATCCACTCGTTCGGCGGCTGCAGATAGCGCTCGCAATTACGACAGAAGTGGAGCACAGCCTGCTTCGGGATGTTCTCCGTGATGTCGACATGGTTGCGCAGGCAGGTGACGCACATGTTGGCCGGATTCGGCTGGATGGCCACTCCGCACTCGCAGCACAGGATGACGGCGTTCGAGGCGGCGCCCTTACCGTCCCCGGCGCCCAGTGGGCTAGCCCCAACGTATTCGTGATCCATGAATCCTCCGGAGGTCTCTTCGGTCCAGCTATTTCACAATGACGTTGTAGAATGCGCTGAAATTCCCACCAAGTACACAACTTTGTAAACACGTGCGTGTGGATGTATATCGATTGGCCAGAGATCAGCGATGCCAGTAATCGGCGTATGAAGTTTGGTCTTTTCTAGCTACGATTAGCTAAAAGTGAGACATTGTTTTTGTTTCCAAAAATGATGAACAAGGGACACTTTAAGCTAAGGCAGACGTTTGACAGATTTCTCAACATTTTTCTTTAAAATAAAATACTCCTCAGCTGTCTTCAGCTATATTTTGGCTACTGAATGTTTGCCCCGTTATCGATATATTGGCCGCCGTCATCACTGACAAACCAGCTGAGGCGACGGACTCGACTCCCGGAGATTTATACGGACTTGGAAGGGATTTGGCGCCATGCAGAAGAAGCCCATCAACGCCAACTCGCTGCTGGACAAGCTGCACCGCGGCGCAGTGTATGCCTGCATCGGAGTCACCCTCTACGGCACCTACATCCTGGGGATGCGCTACTACCACTACTACACTGTCATCCGACCGGAGAAGCAGCAGGCGGAGCTAAAGCTCCTTGACGAGGGTGCCCACGACAAGGCCAAGGAGCTGAAGTACTAGGCTCGCTCGTCTCCGCCCCTTTAATTGTTAAATGTCTGTTAAGCGCAATAAACTGTAAGGAAATGTAAGCATTTTCAGCTGAAAACGGCCAACGCCGGTTGTTGTTGTGTAACCACGGACAGCTGGCCAAAGTAGATGACCGTCGGCAGCCCCGGTGGGATTGTCAGATTCCAGATTCAAGATTTGACCCTGGAACCAACCCAACAATGGGCCATTAGCCGTCTGGGCCGTAAATCATACTGCTCCGGTCACAATGGGAAATCAATCAATCGACAGCGACATCGACATCGACCCGTTCGGCGGACTAGAATTAGCCAAGAATTATAATTTAGCTGGTTAGCTGGCAATCAAATATGTTGTCATCTCCGGATCGTGACCACGTCCAAGCCTGTAGACGAGACCCCTCAGCAGCTTTGGCTTCCGCTTGCCCAACGCGTCTCGCGTGCATTCACCTCCAATGCGCAGGGCATAAATATTAAACGATGTGGATACGAAAAAACAATCGCGGGGAGAAGGAGACAATGGCGGTGCCACCCACTTTTGGCCAGAGATGGCGAGACGTCGTCGATTGGGAAAATGTTTTCCATGCTTCATTCAACAATGTTGCCTCCGGCGTTGCTTCATTCATGACTTGGGAACTCGGAGCAGCAAAAACAACAGCCATAGCAGACTGCGATTGCGATTTGCAATTGCCACTGCGGTCAAGGTCGTCCTTCATTGTGTACCCGGTAATGGGTACTGGGTACTGGGTAGCAAGTACCTCGGCAGACGAAAGTGATCGAGAATAATGGAACGCGGAGTCTGTACGGCTGGAGAATCGAGTGGTCTTCCCAACTGTTTCAAATCAAATGGTTTAGTGTATTAAGCCAAAGCTGTGCACCTCTGAAAAACCGACCTCTTTCAATCAACCTAGTTTACGCCCATTAAAACTAACGACTAAAAACTCATCGACCTGGGCGCCGACCCTTGGCCCAATATACCCCTTAAGCCAGAGGTCTTCGCCAAAGTCGTGCACTTTGGATATTCTTTCGATAAGAGTTTGCATTGGAAATGATCTGGCAGAGATCTCAGCAGGCTGGCAGCTTAATTAAAATGCCAAAATGCTGCAAAACGTGCAATTGTTCATAATTTGTATATAATGCTGCTGCATGAGCGATTCCCACGGGGCTAGTGGCATCCCAGCATTTGGCCAGCTTCTGGGCGAGCTTAGGTAATAGGTAATGGTGCCCCTTCTTGGCGCCGCAGGCCATCCGATCTGGCAGTGAAAGTGTCATACGATATGCCTTCCATGTACGATAGGGGCACTTGGTGATTGTGGAACGCGTCGAGGGTCTCGTGTTGCACGTTGCTTGTGGAACGTGTTGCTGCTACTTCGTCACTTCGGTTGCCCAACGAGCCAGGGATCTTAGAATTTCGACTACGATGGCAATTATAACAGATATCGTTAGTCTACACGCCCACTCCACCTCACTCCCCCCTGCTGCAATCCTCCTCCGCCGGATGAGCGGATAGATGACCTTTTGGCTCCGCAGCATAAACAATATTCGGTTTCAAGTCCTCAACCCGTCATGCATTCAATTCAGCTGCAACAATCGCTGCTGCCGCTGCTGCTGCCGCCGCCGTTGTTGTTGTCAGTTTGCATAATTGCAACTGTAGCAGCATCGAGCAAAAATAAGCCAAGTCGGATGACTATAAAAGCGCCGGGCCACTGGCAGCCATCAACAAACCTCGCCTGGCGCCCAACCCATCAAGTCAACCAGCACCCAGCAACATCTGCAGCAGCAACATGAAGTTCTTGGTAAGCAGCAGCACCGGGACACCAGGATACCAGGAAACCTGGACACGTCGAGTGAAGGACTTTTTTTTTAGTGACAGATTATAAAAAAAAAATTATAGTGATTTTTGAATCTTTGCTGAAAGTGCTCTAGAAGCAAAATTGTTTAAGCAAATGTTTAAAACAAGCCATCAGTTACATGAAATCGGCGATATTAACATCTGAGCACCGAATTGAAAACCGAACCCTTTTTTCTCTGTGCAGTGCGTGTTCGTCGTCCTGGCCATTTGCTTCATGAGCACCTGGGCAGCAGTTTCGGAGCCCGCTCCTGAAGCCCTGGAAGCGGAGCCATCCGCCGTCGATGAGAAGAAGACGGAGAAGAGGGGCATCTACGGGTTTGGTCACGGCTACGGCGGCTACGGCGGATACGGCGGGTACGGTGCCTATGGACACGGCCACTACGGCGGCTACGGCGGACTGAGCAGTCCCTACTACGGCGGCTACGGATACGTCCATGCGACGCCCTACTACGGCGGACACCACGGCTACTATCCGTACCACCATGGCCACTACGGCTTCTACTAGGCCCAGCACCCATCCATGATCGTAATGCATACTGTTTTTTTTTTGTCGATCGCTTCATGCTCATCACTGCACCATCATTCGTATAATATGTATGTACTGGTTTTGCCCAATCATTCACTTCAATATAAATGTACTGCAAATAGCTAATACATACTCGCATGTCTTTGAATTTTGGGATGTTTAAGAGTCGTGGCTTGGATGTGGTACAATGCATTGGCCAAGCAAACGTGTATTGGCCAAATGAAGTGGACCTATATCTCTTCAGTCCTACTCGATTCCATTAAGTCCATTCTGTCTGGCAATAGAAGTGCTTTTCGGTCACTTTTGGGGGTATAACAGTATAAAGCTGCTGTTGCCCAATGGACTGTTATACAAAACTGTTCTAATTTCGATCAATGAGTGGATCACCAGTGTTTCTGATTATCGGCTGAACTGTTTACCTATCCCCACGCGCAGCAATTGGACATTGAGATGCTGAAACGCGATCTGCAAAAAATCACACTCAAGCTGTCCGATCTCAAGGACTACGAGATTGCCCGCCAGAAGAACAAGTGCAAGGGCGCCCCGCCATCCAGGCTATCCCAGGACGCCCTCACCGGAGACGATGCCTCCACTTCGGGGACAACGGGCAGCTGCAGTTCCAACACGGAGACGGCCACGGAATCTGCTTCGGGATCGGGATTGGGATCGCGATTGGTATCGGGATCTGGATCGGGATCGGGATCTGGGTCCGGATCGTACATTACGGGAATGGGCTACCGTTCGGAGACACCCTCCTCCGCATCGTACACCACATCGACGACCCCGACTCCGGCCACTCAGGAGGAGGTACTGCGGCCCTCGTCCGCCGTCACGGCCACCACCACCACCGGGACCACGAATTCCGGCTCCACGGATGATGTAAGCGTGGCGGCCGTGGTGGATGAAACGGATACCATTGACGAAATCAGCGACGACAACTGGGTGGACCTGAATGCGGACACCGACGATACCGCTGACACCCACCAGGAGGAGCAGGAGCAGCTGCCGGTGGCGGAGGAGGAGGACGGGGCTAGGGGAGGAGCCTAGTCCTGACCACTTATCGCGGTATGAAAGCATAGCGCAGCAGCTGCACTCGAAGCCCCCGTTTCACATTCCATTTATCATCACATTTTGTATACGCAACCAAGTATAATAACCCATTGCATGCTCCACTTACCTAGAAATGCGTTTTCATTGGCTGGCCTGCACTTATTGCATTATAATAGATTGGAAGGCTATGCATATGTCGATTATGTAATCTTCAAAGCCGAAGCCGTGCATATTATAGTTGGACTTAGCTGTGGCAAAAGGAGGAATCGCGATCGCATTATATCGAGTGGGAAATGCAGCTCCTAATTGGGTATCCCCACGAGCAGCTTAGCAAGCGGGAGACGACAACAAGTGGCAACAGGTGGACGCAGTGTGGGCGCATGGGAGCGAGAAGGGCCAGCTGTGGAACTAGAGGCCGAAACACAGGTTACCCAAGCTGCAAGGGGTACGTGCAACGTGACTAGAGTAGCATGAAACGGAGGAGGGGGTGGCCTCCAATGGGGCTGCCTCCACGAAAGCTTCCCCCAGAAGCTGAAAAGCTCGCAGGCATCGGCGCTGCATTTCAAAATACGTGGCCATACTGCTTTCTGGCGGCAGGCTGGCCAAAACGGCGGCTTCAACTCAAATCCTGTCCGATTCGGCTCGGTGCGGCAGTCCGGAGCAGGGCAAACGGACGACGGTCGACGGACGACGGATGGCGGATGGCCGGCCTTCCGCCAATTACGGGTCGCTGGAGTCCACGGCCAAGCGATTGCCAATTAATTACGCGCCTGGGTTCGATATCCAACCGCTCTGACTACTCTGTGCCGTGGTACAAGTGCCCGTCTCAGTGTCTGCATCCGCATCCGTGTCCGCAACGGTATCGACATCCCAAGCCCAGGCCGCATCGGTGGCCGTGACCGAAGGATCGACCGGTAGCATCACGTGCCAAGTGCCGGTTCATCACAAAGTGCGAGGGTAAGTGGCCATGGGCACGTTGCAAATACCCCTTACGCCGAGGGGATCTCTGTCGCCACGTAACATCTGTGGACAAAGTCCTGACGAACTAGCTCCGCAAAGGACAGGAATGATAGGCTCGTAAACACGTGGGAAACCTTTAACCTTTGACCCCCGTAACCTTTTGCTATGCATATTCGGCCGCCCAGTTGCACGGTGCTCCTCGTGCCCAGGGGATATTCCTGAAATGAAGTGCTGCAAATAGCAAAAACTGCATACACACAACACGTTGTAACCGAGTGGGAACATGACGCCGGGGGCGCGCTCGGGTGCACTGATAGAACCACCTGTCACACACACATTCGTGGCACGTGCGGCGCTCCAGGTGGTGAGTGGAAAGTGAAAGTGAAGGTGAAAGCGAAGGTACGAAGGTACGAGGGTACAGTTACGTACGCCAGGAAGCTGGCTAATGGAAATTCCGCGGATGCTGAGCGCAACTTGTGGCAATGGGACCCCGTTGATCGCCCACCATTTAAGTGGCACATTCAGCCGGATTCCCCGCCATGTGCCCCCCACCATGGGCGCATGTCTTTCATTAATCCGTGCATAATTAGCCAGTGCTCGCCGGGTTGCGGTCGCAGGATTAGCACTTCGAGCATATATACATTGCAAATACTTGGTAACAATGCACATACAGGGTATGCGGATGGTTCAAGGCAGACCAGAAGCTTAACTCCTAGGTAAATGAGCATGGCTATCGGCCTGGCCCTGGCAAACAGAGATCCCGATGGGCCCGAAGGGCTGAACCGCCTGGCCTGATTGCCGTGTGTGCCTGTGCATATCTGAGGGCGGCGCCCAGGTGGGGCCACCCAACAGGTGGCTGCAGAGAGTACTTACTTGTCCAGCCCACTGGATCGGCTTTCGTCCTGCCCAACGATGCAATTTTAATGCGGCCCAGCGCTTCTGACGAGTGCATGTTAAATAGAAGGCGCTGGCAGAGCAAACGACCCGCCCGGACACTAAATGTCCGGGCTTTTGGGTCCTCCCCATGCCCAATGCCCCATGCCCCATGCCACATGCCACCGGGAACCCCTTCTTGGCCTTTGGCATTGCCTTTAGCCAGTTCCTAAGTGCCTCAGTTGGCTTTGGGCTGCGGCAGGGAAAACGGCAATGCGGTATGTTTTGTGAAAAGTGGAAAGAGTGGAGAAAGTGAAGCAACTATGGCCGTTGCAGACAATTTGCCCTGATTGCCGAATGTCAGTCTGGTTTTGTCAGCTAATTTGCATGCATAGTTCGAGCCAGGCCGACACATTATGCCCATGCCTTGCGCTTTTCCTGGCAGCTCAATTTTCCGGCTTTTCGCCTGTTTGACATTGACGTGCAGCGAAGATTCGCGCGTTTCCGTGGCCGTCGGCTGCAATTAAATCAATAGTTGGTACTAGCCAGGAGGTCAGGCCACAATTCGCCGACGAAGGCTCTGCAAATGTACGGAGATGGCGCTATCATTTGCATAAGGCCCACTTGCAGGTTAGGTAATTTAATTATTTCAGATTTTCCACCATAAACAATCAGTATTTTGCCCAAAACAAAGGAAATAATTGACCGAAAACGGATTGGCATACATCGGTGAATTCGTTATTAAATTTCCAATCGATTGGCGTTCAAATTTGGAAATTTTAATTTTTGACCGTTTTTTGCAAAAAATCTGGTACCCCTTAAAAAAATGCGAAAATTGGCCGAAAAATACATTTTTCAAAAACGTTTAAAAATTGACAAGGATCGTTGGCTTAGGTTGTTAGCTGCACAAAACAGTAATTTTCTTTGGTTTCTGGCCGTTTTTGGCCGAGTTATGATGAAAACCCCCTTTAAAAAGGAGACATTTTGGGCCAGGTTTTCTTTCCCAATTTTCCGTCAAAAAATGACCAGTATTTTTGCCAAAATAACGGACCGAATATGGAATGCTATACTTTGATAGAATCGTAATTAAATTTCTAATCGGATGACGTTCAAACTTGGAAATGTTAATTTTTGACCGTTTTTTTTTAATTGGTCAAAAAATATATTTTTAAAAATTACCTAAGAAGTGGGTCGTTGGCCTAGGTTGTTAGCACAAACCAATAATTTTCTTGGCCATGTCGCACTTTTCAGACAATTTATAAAGTAAAACTAGTGTGTTTCATTGATATTTATTTTCTTCATACATTTGAAATTTGAATATTCTGTTAGTTGTGAACCCAGGCCTGTCACGACGACCCCCCCATGTACCAGGTGCGATCAGATAGCTGCGGGAACCGTCCATCGAAGTGCACAGAGCAATGACGCCAGTGGGGATCGAGTTCCGTTTGGGATGGGGAGGAGGATGGGGCGAGTGAATGCACCTATTAACGACAATGGGCGAAAGGTGCTTGATACCGATAAGGCGGCCGATTCGGGATTCGGTATTCGGGATTCGGGATCATTGTCCACGGGTGCGCGGATTAGGCGGTGTAGCATAACCAGCGCCATGGAATATTTTACCCAGGGCGGGAGAGCGAGAAATTTCGATTTGAACTGGAGACTGAGCTTGACGTTTATTTGGCTATGGATCGGTGAGCTATTGACCGAGATTCGTGTTGATTCCGACGCTTATCGCCGGGCCGGATAGTTGTTGTTGTTGTTGTTGTTGTTGTCTCGGGTACACAACAACAGCAATCCGTATTTTCGGGCACTCCGTGTTCTTCTCGTAATCTCTAACGCCGCCGGCAACGAGAACAACAACAAACAGTGGACGTCGGCGACGAAGGAATCCGACTGGAACACAAACTGGTGCCATAGGCGTAAAAATAGCGGAATGGGTTTATAAATAAACGAATCGAAACTAGCAAAGCCCGTCCACCCAGGAGCGGACTTAGGGCAATAGGGCTCGCAGGTCCGCCAGCATAGCGACAATAAATTGCCAAAGGCCTGCGAACAGGAATGGAGGCGTCTCCTCGATCGACGACGTCTGAGTCACTGGCATAACCTCGAAGTACGCCTCGTAGGTGATCAACGACAGGACATAGAGGGCGTGCAGCAGGGACAGTGCGAGGACCGTCTTCATCAACACGGCGGAAACCGATTCGCAGCTCGATGGGCGCCGGTTTCCATGTGGCAAGTCTACGGCCGTCGGAATCGGATTGGGCTCGGGTCCAGTTCCCATGTCTACCATGGTTGGAATGTGCGCCAAATCGGTACCTGCTATGCGAAGCGGTACTTCATCAACGTGCTCCAAGTCGGGGCCAGTTCCGATTTCCATCAACATTGGCAGTGGTACCACACCACCAGATCCGACATGACATTGTGCGGCTGGCACAGCTCCAGGTGTTGATAGTTCCAGAACTTCCGGCTGCGGCTCAACACCATCTTCTGTCTGACTACCGAGCGTTACGAGAAGCTTTCCGCTGTGGATACTGCGGCCCAGTTCAACGGCTTTGTCCTGCATCAAATCGAAGTAGAAACTGGGCGGCGGTGTCTCGTCCTCCAGCATGGGCACATCCAAGGATGCTATCCAATGGAACAGCAGCTGCAGGCGGTAGCTGCAGCTCCATGGCGTGCCAGCAGCTTCCTCGCCCAGTTCGCTAGGTGACCTGCGGTAGTTGTACAGTTTCTCCAGTTGGGACAGCTCCATTACCACCAAATATATATTTAGTTTTCAGTCTAACGGACAGAAGAAAATATATTCTGGGCTTCCGTTCGATGTGAAATGTGATTGCTTGCTCGAATAGGGAATAGCTTGTCACAAGTGTCACAAGTATGTGACATTTGGCAGCCGGGTACATGGAGTCGATAGGTGTTCCTGCTCCTGCTGCTGCGCCATTTCGCTCCTTGGGGCCGGTCAAGCCTGCAGCAGCGCTCCATTTAATGCGGCCTGGACTCCACTATCTAATCAATTCGAAGCGGGGCGTGGCATGACCACCCTCGGACGCACTATGCGGAATTGATTCCCAGTCCCGTTCCCCCCCGCATTCCCCCTCCAGCAAGGGCGTTATCAATGGCCTGGTATAATCGGCTATCAATATTGTCGCATTACGACAACCATTAACGCGGCGCGGTGAAGGGTTCGGGGCGTCAGGAGGCGACGGGCGTGTATATAGGATCACGGGTTGTTCGATCCACTCATCGGGGATGGCCTACCTGTGGCCGACGGCCCAGTCAGCCTGGTCTCGGGGCTTGTGTGTATTTTTAGCATAGAAAACACTGTTTGTACAGCAAATTATGCGGTCGGTGCGAAGCGCGGTCTGATCAAGTCCGACTTCCACTTATACCATGCTCGTTGGCTGCGTGACTCCTCACGAGGGAGCTGATTGTCCACCAAACCCGTGCAGAGCATCAGCTATTCGCTGTGGCTGGCGAGCAACTTCTCCTCCTATCGTCGACCTTGATATTGCACTTCTTTTGGCCAAAGCTTGTGGCACGTGGCACGCGAGTCTAATCGATTTATAGAGTCAGCTGCATGGGCAAAGTTCGAGTATGGTAGGCTGACTGGAGTATTGCAGAGTTTGCGGAATAGCTTAAATAATCGCAGAGGTTGCCCCACTGTGCTTCAATCTCCTCCTGCAGACATGCAAATAACTGGCAATGCAAAGCGGAAATAAGAAGTGGGGTTCGACGTGGAATAGAGTTTGATAGTGCGCTGTGTGGTCTAAACAAGCTGTTCAACACAAATTGCTATGATTGTATTCGCTTTTTGTGGCCGTGGTGATTTCGATTTACGCACAGTTCAACTCGAGCAAATTTGTTAATTAATATTTAACACTAAGCCAGAAAGGCAGAAAGGCATAAAGGCGTCAGCATTTCCCCTGCCACCCGAAAATGCCGTCTAATTTGCATGTGGACAACACAATTGGAAGCGCGAAACCTGTACGAAATATTATAAACTGATAAGGTGACTACAATTCAAATTCAGCGTATTGGGTCCGATCACTTGGTGGCGCTCTTCCGCTCCCGCTCCCGCACCACTACCGCCACCGCCCAGAGTTCTCCATGCGCGCTCTTTGGGGCTGACCACTGATAAGGAGCGAGGGAGCGGTGCGAGAGGCCTGGAGAGGAGGAGAGTGCTGCGCTGTTTGCTTTTCTTTGCTGTGCCGTTCCTCCTTCATCGGCCTGCTCGGTCGCTCGACCGCTCTACCGCTCGACCGCTCGGCGTTCTGCTCTTACACGGCTCGCATTTAATTTTAATTCGTCGCCTGCCCTGCTGACAGCGACATCGGTTGCGTCTCGCCAAAAAGTGATTTGCCGCTCCCGCGATTTGGAAGCAAGCGAAGCAAGCCATCGGGAAAGGAGCCGCGGAGCTGGCGAAGTCAGTGGTAGAAGCACCGTTAAACGTTATTGCCGTGCAGTGTGACCGAGTGTGCATTCGCCGCAAGGACATATAACAACATATCGAGTGTGGCCAGTTGCCAAGGACCCTGTGCGATCGAATTCGCATTCATTCAGTTTTATTGACGCCCCTTCGATCCGTAATCTCGACGATTGGAAAACTGCAATTGTAACGCGAGCAATACAAACTGTCAACAAAGTCGTAAATTCGCACACTGCGGCAGTAAAGTGAAGCAATCGAGGGGAAAATCGCAAAAGAGTGCAGGCAGCAACAGAGTAATTACCAAATAACAGGCGAAAGGTGGTAAGTCGGCTGGATCAGATAAGGCGGCTATATCTGTAAAGCTTACATATATATGATTTCTTACATCTGATCGGATCACCGATCACCGATCACCACACCGATCCAATCCTCCAGAGGCGCAGCGCCATCGCCTGGAGTCGTGATGCCATTTGAAATGCCGAGAATGCATGCATGTTGTCGAAACTATTTTTAAACAGATCGTTTCATTACTTTCGGCTTTTTTCGGATTTCTCATTCTCGCTTGGTGCGCCTGCACAGAACCCACACAGAACGTGGGAGAAAAAGAAGAGAAAGTGCACTCGCTCCTCCGCCTCCCACTCCCACTCCCCTCCCTTATCGCTCTAAAGGTGGCCGTGATCGATATTGATAGCTCCCGATATTGATGTTGACTGAATGCTTAACCAACGCTTACGGCTGTGTGGACAAGATCGTCGGGAAAGATTGATCGGGATCAGAGGGAAATGGAAAGTGGTTGAGTGGGAAGGTCAAACATTGAACAATAAATTCTTAGGAATGTAATCTGCTCGCCAAGTTCAAGTTGATACAAGGGGGCTGGGCGAGATGTTTGTGCTCCACAGAAGGCAACAGGATCGACTTGGAGAAGGGTAGTGAATCTTGTCCTGAATTTCCGCCCCTTGGCAAGCCAGACAAGCCGTAGAATCCGGTTAGTGGGTCAGTTTCTTACCCTGGCCAGGTTCAACAGCCTGGGTAGCTGGCGCTGGTGATTAATGGGAGGTGGTGGGAGTGGGTTTCCGACTGGGAAGTGAGCACAAAGTAAGCCCGAGGCCGCAATAATTAAAAATCCGTGACCGCAAACGCTGAAACTCATTTAGTGCCGAGCAAAGTGAATTAGTTTCATAATAAACAAAGTGCGAGTGACAGCTATTCCAGCTCTCAGCTGAGATGCAGTTGCTCGGCAAGGAGCAACTTTCCTGCAGCTCTCATAGTTAAGGAGTTACCTTGGAAAGGGGTGAATCACTCGATTCGACTGCATGCCCCTGCATGATACCCCTTCTTTTATTTGGCTATCCACGTTCGTTTGTTTTGATACTGCTGGTTCAACGACTTGGCAGAAATAGTAGCAAAATAGAAACCTCGCGGCTACACGCGAAGAAAAAGTTACCACTTGGAATGTTGAGAAGTCAAAAGATCGTTCTTCGTTTCAAATTTTGACTTTGGAACAAGGCCAACAGGAATCCAATCTAATTTCGAAATTTTGATGATCATTTATTTGGCGAATGATCGAAATAATTCTCAGTGCCTCACGTAACCGAACTGTTCGTGTTGCTCCTGCTTTCTGTTGCTTTTTTGCTTCTGCTTCTGCTTTTCCTTTTGCTTTTGTCTTTGCTGATATCGCACTTTACTTACTGCGCACATTTCGTCACATTTTCGGGGCTATCTCTTGACTCTTACACTCATATTGCATATGGGTCAAGGGCAAAGTCCCGCGAGTGGCCCCCAGCCCATGGATGATGGACTGGGTGGGCGCATCCAGTCCGCGTGCTATCGCTCTTGGAGGAGGGTGCATTGTCATTGATGTGGTTGCGGGGCAAAAGTGCACGATAAACAAGTAGAGTACAGCGGAATTGAGTAGTAATTACCGATTACGATCCAGTTAGCAACCGGTTCATCGTAGTTTTAGTGCATATGTCCACTAAGTACGCTTAAATGCATTTTAAATTCAGATTCAAATCGTTGTCCCGAAAGGTAGTCCACGAAATTCGTTGACATGAAAGCAAATTGGAAGCTAATCGCAGTCATTGGCAAACTTAACATTAATTAGCATGTTTAGTTCGCTTTTATTAACAATAAATTTAATATGTGTCATGACACTTAAGTGTTTCTAATGGGCAATAGAGCCGCTTATAGTGTTGTGTAGTGTTAATTGTTGCAGTTCTCATTCCATCCAAAGCTGTTAGATCGAACAGACCAGCTGAAACCAAAGTCCAATTATGTCCAACCAGATGAGTTTCGCTCAAGGGGCGGATATTCAGTAATACACGTATTAGCTAAATTCCTTTGGTCCGCGCCGCCAACGCTGCGTATGCGCAATCTCTTTGTCGGCGATATAAGATTCGCGTGAGACGAGACGAACGCCTGAATGTCATGGTCAGAATTTGGACCAACCGAGTCCATTGATAGTGCCGTATCGCTAGGGGCTCTAGAGGTAAAAGTGTACGGCTCTCATTTGCGTTGATTTCATTTGATTTGTTTTGTTTTAATTGTCTCTGATTGCACAAAAGAGCGACGCCGACGGATGAATCACTCCGCCTAAGTTGGAGAGGCTGGGGATGCGTTTCCTGTTGACTTGATGCGACTGGCAACCACATACTATGTACATGTACTATGGCGTTCTGCAGGGGCGTTAGCCCCTCCCGACGACCATCGTTCGATTGCTCGTACGTTCCTAATCAATTTTAGGTTAAGTTGGCTAGCCTTTGTTCATGCCTGGCTTCCAGTGTAATGTGTGTGTGCATATCAAGTGCTGGCTGATATGGCTTTGGAAAAAGTGAAATGGCATTTGTTTTTGTTCGGCAGTGGGGGGGAATACCCACCACGCCCCTCTGTTCGCATCTGCTTTATCACGTCACAATTATCTTGCGGCATTGTTGCAACTTTTGCGCTTTGTTTCCAACACACAAAAACGCAGCAAAACAACAATGATTGAGCAGGCCTATATGTACTATGCATGCTCTATACTATCTGCAAGCCTGCAGAGCTGGAAAACCAACACAGCAAAATAGACGCCTGCCTTATACTGGAGGAGCAGACCTCTATTACAAGTCGGCGCACAGAACAAATACACAGAGGAGCACGTCAAATTTTAGTTGGCCAACGCAACGCTTGGCACGTTCATGAATTTGACGCCGCATAAACGAGCGACTTTCGCGCTGCTCGCTGGGGGTCCAAATGGCAAACAGCTCAGCTCCGATCTGCCACAGTCCAGTGTTTTTCTGAACCGAGCCTGATAAGCCGCGTAGAGAGCTATACTCGTACGAGAGACTTAATATAGCGATGTGCCACCGCTCCTGACTTGCCAATTTGACGGACAATGGACAGTGGAATCGTAAGCGGAATCTGCCAAATAACGGTGATGATGGGGGCCGTGCTAATGATCAGCGGGCGGACTGGAAGGCCGGGGTCAAGGGTGACTGGGGGCTGATAACTGCTTTGATTTGGTTTGCTTCGCTTTCGCCCGCCACCTATGCATATTAGCATATATTCTGGGGCCCAACATACTTGTACATAGGTTTCTAATTTTAGCTTGTGGAAATACATACAACATATAAATCAGAATTGAATAGATTAACGAGGAGGCAGTAGTCATTGTAAGTTGAAGCCATTTAATTGGGGTATGCACACAGTTCTGCAAATCGCTTTGAAGAACCCAAGCTAGAAGAACAATCTGTTTTTAATGCTTCTAGCGGGTTCAATGAATTTGGACGAGCTCGGCTGATAACCAGGGCAGACACACCAGCGACAACATCCTCCTCGTCACGTGTTTGCAATGTGCTGGACTGCCTTCTAATTGCTTCCATTTGTTTGCCGTTTCAGTTTCTGCAACATGAGCTGCTGGCTTTAAGGAGCCCATCCATCAGCAGCAGCAACAGCAACAGCAACAGCAGCAGCAGTTGCCACATCCAGGCAGCAGGTGCAACCGGAGCGGAGACCCACTTGCAGGTCAAGGTTCTTCCGGAGAGCAGAGCAATCAGCCCAGGGCGACACCGACAACATGGTGCACGGACCGCCGGCTCGCAGAAAATCACAGCAGCAGCATGAGGCCTGCGAGATGGACATGGAGCGACAGCCCACTCCGCCGGATGGCGGATGGGGATGGGTGGTGGTCTTCGGCTCCTTCATGATACACATAGTCAGTAAGTGCTTCCCTGCTTTTCCACTGTTAAGAGTTGTAAGGGGTTGAGCTGCGGAGGTGCCAGTGGGGCTCTCGCCGGAGGAAGACTTGACCGGCGGGTAGGCGAGCCATCGCCACCTTTACGGCTGCCATAAATCAAACCCAAGAGCATTCGACCGACCCGGCAACCAAAAGTGGTCAGGAATAAAAGTAATAGGCATTTCGTGGATTTCTGGGATCGTAAATACTCAGGCACTCTAATCGCCGCAAATCAGGGTGTGCAGCGGGATAGATTGGTAGATGGCCTTATCGGCAAGGTCCGATCCAGATACTGACATTCGATACGATGAAGGCTTATGTGGAGGTGGAGGTGGAGGTGGAGTACGGCCACCACTTCAGCCGTGCGACTATCAATTGGATGATAATTGTGGCCAAGTGTCCAGTGCGTCGATACGCAGCCGATAATCTTATCGCCATGTGGGCTGTAATTGCCTGGTCACGGAAATAGTTGCCGGTGGGCGGGATGGGGGCTGGAGCAGACTGGTGGGGCGTGGGGAGCCTGATGAAATGGGAGCCCTAATTAATTGCCTACTAAACTGATTTATGGCCAGCGCCCGGCAACCAGTTTGATCGAACGAAATCCACTTTGGGCAGGCACATGTTTCTGCACAGGTCATCCACTGTATATTCATTAGTGTCTAATTGTCCCTTCTTGTCTCTTGCAGCCGATGGCATGACCTACTCCTTTGGCATCTTCTACAAAGAGTTCCTGGACTACTTCAACGAGGGCAAAGGTTACACAGCATGGATTGCCTCCATAATGGTGGGCGTGACCTTCTCTTCGGGTGAGCAATATAGTCCGCTCTCTAGGAGCGAAGGTCAACTATGATTACCCTTTACCCATTACATTTATCCTGCAGGACCGATCAGTTCGTCGTTCGTGAACCGATATGGCTGCCGTGCGGTGACCATCGCGGGCTCCATTTTGGCCGCCAGCTGCATCATCGTGAGCATGTTCGCCCAGAATGTCCTCACGCTGATCATCACGATCGGTTTCGGAACGGGCTTGGGCTTCGGGCTCATCTACCTGCCGGCCATCGTGAGTGTGACGCAGTACTTTGAGGCCAAGAGATCCCTGGCCACGGGAATCGCTGTCTGTGGCTCCGGATTCGGCACCTTCGTCTTCGCCCCGCTCACGGAGTTCCTGATCGGCCACTACGGTTGGCGTGGGGCAATGCTGATTATCGGCGGCATCGTGCTGAACTGCATCATCTTTGGCGCCATGTTCCGACCGCTGAAACTGGAGGCACCGCCGCAGACGCCGCCGAACACGCCGAGCACACCCAAGCTGGGCAAGAAGTCGGCCATCATCGACCAGAACACCACGTCGGCGGAATTGGAGCCACTCAAGATCCAGCCCAAGGATCAGTACCTGCAGCTGCCGCAGCGCACGGACACTCCGGTCTCGGGTGGTGCCCTCTGTCGGTCCAACAGCGTTGGCCACAACCTCAAGCCCAGTCTGGTGAGCCCATGCAAATAAATAGCTAGCGGATCCGATCTCTTTATTGATCTAAGTCTAATTTACATGTTCCAGAACAACAACTCGAACGGCGCCGTCAATGGGCAGGGACCCACCTTGGTGACCCCACCGCAGGCGGTGGTGAAGAGCACCAGCAACGACGACATCGCCCGCAAGTGCCACAGCCAGTTGCAGCTGACTCCTCTGAAGGACGCCCATCGCGAGCGGAGTGCCAGTGGCACCATGTACCGCCCGGATGCCCTCTACCAGGTAGGCTACCCGGCCGAATCGAGGTGTTCGTGGAGTGTGCGGTGCTCTAATGCTATTCTGTCTTCGTGCACAGGGCTCCCTCCACAACCTACCCGACTATGTGAGCTCCCGGAACGATCTAAGCCGCTCCATGTCCGGTTCCGGCGTTATAAAGCGCTACGGGTCCCTTCGCCAGAGCAACAACGTGTCGCAGAGTCAGGTGAGCTTTTGGCAGGTCTTACAAAGCAACTTACCGTGGGTGTATGAATTTAGGAACTATTATTAAAATATACAAATATCCCAATTGCTGTTGTATCCCATTCTCTGCTGAGCTTCCGTAAAAAAGAAATAGGATCTGGAAAACCGGCATAGCCACAACTTTACAAATTTTAAAAGGCAATTACTCTCCGTGTGTGGGTGCCAAATCTGGGCAAACTGGCTAGGATCCTTGCTAATCATCTGAATCAAACCAGCGAAAACGAAAACGAAACGAATCCATTCCGTGGGACTCGTGTAAATCTCGTGTATATATGACGTAGAAAAGGACGAGATTCAGGGGCACTTGGATAAATCATTGGAAAGCCCTGCCGATGAAGGTCCACTTGGGTATGGGCTTGGGAAGGAAGAGCGAGCGCTTCTTGCAGGGGCAGTCCTCTATCAGATGGGCCCGCAGCTCCGCGAAGATCGCCTTAAACCAGTCCTGCCAGGAGCAGTCGAAACTTTGGCGTCCAATGGTGCGGTTCTGGTACTCGTCGAACAGCATGGCGATGTAGACAATGGCCAGCAGCGACATGAAGCACCTAATCAGAAACACCGCGCCTGGCCATAGATGCCACTGAATAATGCGGTGAATCTGCAACCAGAGCGACACACTTGCATTCGCAACATCAACACGCTTCCGACGGGCCAAAGCAACTGCTTCGCTGTCCAAGCGGACACCTTCATCCCCGCTGGCAAAGTCCATGATCGACCCGAAGTATTTAAGTGTGGAAAACGAAGTCTGACCGGTTAGAACGTAATGGCGTTCGATATATTTGAGCTGACGTAAAATTCAACTGTGCTTAAGTTAAAAAAAAAACGGTACCATTAAACTACTATGTTAGTTTAGAAACGATGCGCCAGATAGCTTCTCCAGATCCAGAGGATGAGTTTGTAGAGGAGGAAGAGGCGAAACAGCTGGTAGAGGATCACCTTGCTGCAAGAATTTCACTTGAAAGCGACTGTGTATCTAGATACTCACAACAGATACTCACATCCTTAAGATAATGTTGGAACGCCTCAGAGTTTTCGGATCCTCGCGAAGCAAATGCGTTCGGATGCTGAGGAGCATGTGCCTGCAGGATTGGATCACCAGGACATGGATGTCCGGATGGTTGAAGGCACTCAGGCTGAATATGGATCTGAATACGGAGAGGATTGGATGGAACAGTGAGATTGGATGGGACAAATGGCAGCAACTACTAAGTTGACCGCACGTACCCTGCGCGTATCATGAAGAGCTCCTCTAGGTTCGTAACCCCGGGACTGTCCCAGTTGTTGAACATGAAAGGCTGCATCACCTCCAGCGTTTGGTAGGCCTTGCGAACCGTGCTCATCAGCACGGGCTTCTGACCGAAGATCCTCAGGAGGAGGTCGAGGATGAGGGCCGGCAGGATCTGCTTGGTGAAGACGAGAAACTGGTAGGCCCACCGCTTGTCCGTGTAGTGGCAGCCCGGGATCATCAGGTTCTTTTCAAATGCCGCGTTCCGCCACAAGTTCAGCGTGTCCATCTGCTCGGCAATCTGGTTGAAGGTGTCCGGCACGTGGGTCCACGATGAGAACAGGTAAACTGGCAGCTCGGCCGGCGGTCCTTGCCTGTAAATATCGTACCCCCACTTGGTGTAGCACAGCATGCTCTTGATGCCGATGTCCTGCGGCGTGAAGTCCAGTCGAATGTCCTTGCCCAGGTAAACAGTCTTGAGGATTCCGGTGCCCACCAGCGCGAACAGTCCCATGGCTCCCGTCAAGGATGGCGCGAATCCGGGCGACGGCTCTTCTATGGCATAGAGAACTGGGGAAGGCTCTGTTTCTTAATCAGGGACTAATGCATGTGCGGTCCTTTGATTACCTATGGAAGGACGATACACTATTACTGGCAGCCGATGGCGGTAGTCATTCACCAGGGATTCGGCCAGGTTTTTGGTGAACGTGTACGTGTTGGGAAAACCCACGATCAACCTGGGATAACCAAACGATAAAGTATTATATAAAATCCATTAAGGGTATCCTGGTAAAACACAACAGTCGCTAGCCAAAATAATCAACATGGATAGAGCATGACTTACCTTCGTGTTACCTTCGTTCGACTTACTTTCTTGTTAAAGCGTTGAGCACCGAGTCGTCCGGCATGTCGTCGATCAGTCGGAGGCACAACCGCCAGTCCATCGGCGAGGAGTAGTACTGCAAGGATCAGAGTCACACGGTCAGAGGAACATGCAAGGCTATCCGGGATCCCTAAGCCACACACCTTGGGCTCCACCCGCTTCAAATAGGGATTGCTGTAGAACGTGGAAACGTGGACGAAGGACCTCAGCTGGGGCAGAGTCTCGGCGAACTTGAGCGCCTCCAAGGTGCCTCCGACATTCAGGCGCAGGGCCTCGCGGAGCGGCTCATCGAAGCGCACCGTGGCGGCACAGTGGTAGAACAGGGACACACCCCTCATGCGCTGCATCATCGATGGATCGATGCCCAGTCCCGGCAAGCAGACGTCGCCCGGGACCACCACGATCTTGTCCAGCTCCTGCGGCTTCTCAGCGGCCACCACGTGGAAGACAGTGGCCTGCCGCAGGCGGACCAGTCTCTGCTCCGCTGTCAGCTGTCTGCGAGGGCGCAACAGGACGTAGATGCGGCGGACGTTGCAGGAGCGCAGGAGCTTCTCGATCAGCGCCTTGCCCACCACTCCCGATCCGCCCGTCACGAATATCTCGCTGTCCTCGAAGAACTCCTCCATTTCATTTTCACCGCTTGGTGGATGGCCCATGGTGAATCACTGTCCAGAGCTCGTGCAGCACTGGCATCCAGCTCCACGAGTCGAGCCGCTTAACTGAACGCTGGTCGGCGCGTGCTCATTAAGTCCGTGATTTGATTAACATGAGCTGCGCCACTGTAATCCATGCTAATTTCGGGCTTAATGTCGTAATGTGAAGCATGGTAAGAACTTATCAGTAACCCAGCCTGACCTTGCGCTCACTTTCGACGAGCTGGAAGCAGACGTACTCCCATTATTTTTAGGAATGAATGGGTACTGTGTACCCCATTACTATGACTCATGCCTTGGGCTCTGATTACCCGTTTCATCCCTTTCAGGAGGAGGCCAAGTGCTGCGGCTGCATCACTTGCTCCAAGGAGACCCGCGACACATTCGCCGAGATGATGAACTTCTCGCTGCTCAAGGACATGGTCTTCGTGATCTTCTCCGTGTCCAACTTCTGCACGAGCATTGGCTTCAACGTGCCGTACCTGTATGTGGTCGCCTACGCGGAGACCCTGAAGCTCAGCAAGACGGATGCCAGCTTCCTGATATCCACGATTGGCGTGGCCAACACAGTGGGCCGCATAATCCTGGGCTACATATCGGACAAGCCGTGGGTGAACCGCCTCCTGGTCTACAACGTCTGCCTCACCGCCTGCGGAATTTGTAAGTTTGCGATCTGCCCGACTTTGATCTGCCATTGTATAATCCCCGCCTGCTCCACCAGCCACTGCCATGGTGCCGCTGTGCCACGACTTCCAATCCCTGGCTTTCTACTGCTGCGTGTTCGGCTTCACGATCGGCGCCTACGTGGGCCTGACCTCGGTCATCCTGGTGGACCTGCTGGGTCTGGACAAGCTGACCAACGCCTTTGGCCTGCTGCTGCTCTTCCAGGGCATCGCCAGCTTCATCGGTCCGCCCATTGGAGGTGAGTAGTAGTGCGCCTGTAGCGTTCCGTGTCTGACCTCTGCTCCACAGGCTGGATGTACGACCTGACCGACTCGTATGCGCCGGCCTTCCTGATGGCCGGACTCATGATCGCCATCAGCGGCCTGGTGATGTTCGCCATTCCGCCGCTGCAGCGCCTGCAGGCCCGCAAGTCGGAGCCGAAGGCCCACACCGAGCACCTGGCCCTTAGTTAGTAGTTCACCCGCCACACCCACCCACCCACTGTTTATGCCCACTCCATGTTTTTTTGTTTTTTTTTCTACTCTTACTGTAACTCTAGATACGTACTGATGCACACGACACTTGGTTAGATTAAGTCCTAGACCTAGGCCAGCCATGTATGCTACGGCATATGCGATTATTTATGTGCAGGCAACTGTCACCCCCCCTGCCCCCTGCCCCACTCCTGTCCCCCGCGCCATGACCCCTGACCCCGAGCATGCAAATGTACGCCTATAAGTACGAGTACATGTGGTATGTGCCCATACCAAATTATTGTTATTCTATTATGACTGTATGCCTGTGCGTGTGTCCGTCTGTTTATACGCCATTAAAGAAAGCTTTTGTCTTTTGTACCACAACAGAGAACCACAAAAGTCCATTTGGAAATCGATTGGCTGAAAGCCACATGCCCTTGGCAGTGGGCTATACTCGTTTGAATATGAAATGTAAGTGGCTGGTAAGTGGCGTTGTACTTGGAACCATCTCTCTTTTTACCTTCACAGCGAGGTACGGGCTCTAGAAGTCTACGTGTATGCGCTTTTTAATTATCCCCAGCAATGCAATGGATCATACATGTGCCGTAAATCACACGGCGTGCACATAATGCTATGCATAATACATAAAGAGGCCTATGTTTATATTGTAGTGCCTGCCAAGACAACCCCATAGAACCGTACGAGAGCCCAGAGAAGGCCGTTCCGCGGAATCTTCATCGTGGCAATTTTCAACTTGTTGGTCAATCGCAGCCCGGTGATCTTCGTGGCTAGTTGGCCATTCATATTTATTGTCAGGGGCCAGAGGCGTTCCGCAAAGGGGTCCACATAAAGAACGTGCACACAGAGTTTCGAAAGGGTTCGGTGTTTATTGGATCCTTAAGTGACTACGAATAAATAGCAACAAAACCAAACGCCGAAAAATACGCATTCACAAAAGCACTCACTCATTCACACCCAAAAAAAAAATATAGTTTAATAGCTCGGCAGGCGAGATATCCTCACTGGATCTCCCCGGTGATTAGCTTCTTCAGGGTGCACTCCCCGGCGCCCAGCTTGTGGAGGATGGCCAACACCTCCTCGCGGTAGCGATCCATGTGGCCCAGCTCCTCCGGGGTGTACTCCTCGTGGTCGAAGCGCGTCATCCTCCAGATCACATTCAGCTTGGCCTCGATCAGCACGTAGTTCGAGGAGGGACAGAAGCGCGGACACAGCTCGTTGATGAAGTGGATCATGTCCTGGACGCTGCACGAGTTGATCCGGTTGTTGATGGTGTTCAGCGCGAAGTCCTGGTACTTGGCCATCTTCGCGTGCGGGAACACGTTCTCGCAAGTGATGCAACGCCAGTCCGGCTGCAGTGTCCGCGTCTGGACGGGAATCACCAGGCCACGGCAGCCCTGTTCTCGGCAGAAAAGCGCCGACAAGTAGGTGCCGTTTTCCTGCAACAAGTCAATGGTCAGTGTATCGAAGGATTAGGGAATCAGGGGAGCGGGATATCGGGCATGGAGTCAAAGATCAGGCGGGCTCGCGTCCGCCTCTGTCCATTCACGGCGTACAGTTCGTTCCACTCCAAATCGAAATGCAAATCGCAATCAGAATCGAAATTAACATTCTGTGTGTCATGCTCATGGAAATTTGGAGGAGTGTGTTAGTATCCCGGCAACCTTGGATAATAGAATCAATGGACTGATAATACGATGCCCCGGAGGCCTTGAAAAGCGTGTTTTTAAAGTGCGTTTCAGGTGTACATTTCATAGGAATTCCACAAATAATTGCCGGAATACAGTCTGCCGGCTGTGACAAAGATGTCCGTAACTCTCCCAAACTACAAGTAATTCTGTTACCAAGCCCATCAGAGAGCCAGTTGCCAGCCCCAAGCGTGTGTGCCTGGTACCCAAATGGTGTGCCCCTTGGCCACTTGGGGCCACCCCTCCTGGGCGCGCCCCTGGGCCCTGGTTGATGCAAATCATAGAACTAATTTAATTAGGGAACGCATTTGTGTCAGGGGGCCTGGCCAGCGGCCACTGGCAACGCCAGAGGCCATTATTCAACTCATCCCAGAGCGGCGGAGAGTGGCCACATAAATAGATGTGGCCGGATACGTGGATCGTGTACGTAGGTACATATGTATATATGTACATGCCCATGCCACACACTTTCACGGCGCCGGTGACATCGACGTTGGCCAAGAAATGTGTCCGAAATTCAAGTGAAATGCTTTTCAAATTTCAATTATGGTTTCTTGCTGTGAGCCAAATAGATTGCGATGTTGGAGACCTATAAACTGGGATGTTCTGCAGAGGATACCCTGCAAGGAGGCGAGCTAGCAGGTCCAGGAGAAAGGATAGGTAGGCAGTAGCAAAGGAATTGTTATTACCCAGGCAGGAACTGAACTAGTCTGGAAAAGACCAAAGTCAGAAGGTAAGCTTGGCTGCATGGCAGATGGTGCTGCAGAAGTGGGTCGAGCCAGGAGGAAGGACAACCCTAGGAGACCACGATGCCCATTGATACCGTACTCACAGTATTGTCGTGACACCGCGCACAGTCGCAGGCAAAGTGCTTGGTCATCTTGAGGAAGATATTCCGGGTGAGGTTGGACCAGAGGATCTTGGTGTAGGTGGTGGTAATCTCGCCGCCCTTGGGAATATCGCGAGCAGCCCGAACTACCGCCAGTCGCCCGTTTTCGAAGTAGTGACTAGCGTTGGGGGTGCACTCGTGGTTCATGATCGCCGTGAGCGGGAACAGACCGCGCAGTAGAGTCTCGTGGCCACCGGAGCGGCAGGGAGCCTCGAAGGCATTCGTATTGAGCACACCCACGATGCGGAACAGTTGGTCCATGAACACCCGATCCGTGGTGGGGAAGTTCCGGAAGCACTGGGCCGCCTGGATGATCTCACGGCGGTAAGCGCGCTCCGCATTCGCCTGCATGGCGTCCACCAGATGCCGCTGTTCCTTGCCCAAGTGGAAGACCCTCACTGCCGTGAGGATCCTCAGCGACAGCGGATTAACCTGCTCCTGCTCCGCATCCACGTCCTTGGGCTGCCAGCGGCGGAAGTGCTCGCACTCCGCCTGGTGCTCCTCGGAATCCGCACAGGTTTCGCACACGGGCAGGGTGCAGCGATGCCGGCAGAGGAATCCCGTTTGCGGCAGGGTCTCATGGCAGCAGATGCAGCTGCTCAGTTGACCCTTCCGCGCCGTCGGGCCGGTGACCAAGGCCCGCTCCTGGAAGATCAGCTCGCCGGCGGCAATGTCTCTGGTGGCAAACACCCCGCGACCGGCCACCGTCGAGGAGCTGATGGTCCAGTTGGGCTGCTCTTGGCGCAGATCCCCCAAGTGGGCGTCTATCAGCTGGGCCAGCTGCTCGGGCGTGGTGTCGCGACAAGGGGCCATGTGGGCGCCCAGGGCGGCCAGCGTGGTGTCTCCTCCTCCGCCGCCTCCGCGAGGGGGCGGGCACTGGGCGGCTGCAGACATGGCGACTGCGGTGGGAGGTCGGTCGGAACTGCGGCGAACCAATGCGACGCGCGGCAACTCGGCGAGTGAAGATGTCTCCGCGCAGCTGGGCGGACTACGCGGGAATAGCAGCGATATAGTAGCGACGGCGACGACAGCAGCAACATGAGCAACGGCAGCAGCAGCAGAAGCAGCAGCAACAACTGACTGGCGACAGTGGAAGCAACCCAGCAACCCAGCAACCCAGCGAAGCAGCGACGCTTATGACGTGGACACACCGACGCCCTCGGAGAGCATTAGACACAACTAAAAAAGCACAAATTAGAGGCATCCACCAGGGAATGGGGGAAGGCGAGAGGCGACAGGGGCCAGGAGGAGCTGAACGGGGAACGGGGAATGGGGGACACGGGGACAGCAGCGACAACAGTCAAATATGATTTTTTTCCAAGGCACACGCACGCTGAAAACACACACTCGCCGCCAAGTTCCCGTTTACGAAATCCAAAATAACATTTCCTCCGAGGGAAAGAACTTGAGCATTGCGTTCATTGTTTTGGCCAAAATGCGGGTTATTTTTAGGCGGAAGAGCCCAAAACTCAACGCCAAAATTTCACATTTTGATTCCGCCATGAGTGGTCTCGCAGCGATTTCAAAGTGGGGAACGTGGAGCCACTTGGTGCGCCACTTGGTGCGCCACTGGGAAATAGAGACATTTGGCTGGGCGACGCAAAGCGGATTTTGCTTTTGACTCTTATTCAATTTGTGCCTGAGCTGTTGTTGCCGTGTGTTTGTTGCTGGCGCTGCTGTGGTTGCTATTGTTGCGTTCAATTGGATTCGCCAGTGGTGGGGCTAGGTGGAAAGCACTGATGCAGCCATCCAGCCATCCAGCCATCCAGCCATTCAGCCATCAAAGAACATTTCCCGCTGCCAATTTGTTCGCCAAACACCTCAGTGTGGCTGCCACCTACTAGCCACCCCTTCTCCGAAGTCTGTTTGCGGTTGGTTTGGGACGCCATAAAGTGAGGCGAAGCCATAGGAGCACCACCCACCCCATCCCCATTGCCATCTCCCTCCGATTTCTGCCGTCCTACGACAATCGGAAAATGATCTGTGGAGATGCAGCGCCACTGATACCCCGCATGCTTGTCTGCCACGCATCTACACTGGCCAAAAACGTTGGTGCGACGCCATAGAGCGCTCTTGGAAAGCACTTTCAACCTAAATGGGTCGGACTTCTCCGAAAGTGTGGCTTACATGCATACCATTCCAGGCCGCAACGTAGTAACGCAAAAAATAATAACAAATGAGTACAACAATCCTGCCTGGCAGTGCAGCCCACTTTCTGCGGCTTTCACAACTTTCATGTGGCAGTGCGTGTGGCCGGGACATAAATTAGGGCTTCGCTGGCCAACGAGTTGCGTGTTCCTGGGGCAAAGGGAGCAGAGACAGAGACACCAGGCGGCAGAGCGAGGTGAGTGTCGCAACACGTGACTTGGTGGGGAGCAGGACCAAGACTGGGATTCGGGTGGCTCCACGCCCAGCTGTTCACTTCCCGTCGCAAGTGTCACGCACTGTCACATGTGCCGCAGTGGAGTGGGTCGTCCCGCCACGCCCACCGCCTGCGGTAGTACGTAAATCAGTTCTAAAGCTTGCGGACCCCGTTTTCCCTGCTCCAGCAACTCATAGTTCGCCCACATTCCAAATCTATTTTCACTTTTACCCGCATTTTATTGGGCCAATCGAACGGAAGCTAGCGGCATGAATAGAACGCACTCGAATGCGAAATATCAAAAAGCGTCAATACCAACTGAAAAATTATAGAGTACGTTTGGGCATATGGATCACAAATGGCTTATAGCTACCGTAATAAATAGTTTTTCATTAGCAGCCTATGATCGAGGCCAAATGGGTCAGTGCCTCAGACTTGGCACAATAGCGAAAATTATCGCAAATTCGAGAAAACCTACAAAATAAATAATTGGAATAGTTAGCTATGTTTATTGGCGGTACAAAACTTCATCTTCAAATCTTCATTTTAGCTTTGCCCCCTTTATTCTACTTTGTCTTTTTTTGGTAAAAAATAATCAGTATTTTGTCGATGACATTAAAAATAATTGTCCAAAGCTAGAATGTCATACCTTGTTGAATTTGT